CTCACTCAACGCCGATAGCGGTCTTGCATTTATTGCACCTTCTATGCGGCACAGCAGAGTTTGCAGATCTTCAAATGAGAGCATACTCTTATGAAGCGTTCTGCGCAGAGCCTCTTTCGTTGTGCGCACGAGTCGCTCATAAAAACCTCCCCACTATGGAGCTCGGGGTGCGTTGAATTTCCAGGTTACTCCGGAATGAGCGAGGTGTGCTGCTGCGCCCTTGAAGTTTGTTGCGTTGTCACTTGTCACCGTTTTCGGCATTCCTCTTCGTGCGGCGAATCGATCGAAAGCTTGTAAGAAGTCCCTTGTAGAGAGATCCATACCGATCAGTATGTCGATATCTCCTGATTGCCACCTAGACGGACAGTCAGCTAGGGTCAGGTGCTTCAGATGTGGATAGTCGTTCAAGTCCACTGACTTGACGTTGACGGGGCCACATATTTGCTCAGTTTCCGCCGCTGTCAGAGTCACAGACTTCATCAGTTTGATGGAAACAGAGTTCATCGTTTTGTGGGTTATGCGATCACCACCGAATGTTGAGATCGTTCTGCGCTGGGTTCCAAGCCGCTGACATTTCAAATCCCGAGAGAGAGATGTTGATATAAATGACTGGTTTGAACCAGTATCAAGGATAATTCTTACGTTCCTTTTGCCAGCGGGTCCGACTGCCACCGCTCTAGCTGTTTGGAAAAGAACTTGTTCCTTCTCTTCAACCTGGGACTGAGCAGTCACGATGGGTGCAGCTTCCTCTTCGGTGCACAGCAGGCGGTGATGTCGCTTTCCGCACCTTTCGCAGCATTTCACGTTGTTACATGTTCGTGCAATGTGATGAGGACCTAAGCAGATGAAGCAAGCTCCGACAGCGAGAAGCCGACGGCGCCGCTTGTCCACCGAGAGTGCTTCTGCCTTTCTGCATTGTGCCGTCTCATGCCCGAGCGTGCAGAACGCGCATTTTTGCGCTCTTGCCGATACCTGAAGGGCCGCTGCAGAAGGCAGCATGGTCGTCGTTGGCTGTGTCGAAGTTTTCCAGCTGCGCTTCTGGATAGCCTCCTTTTCCGTTGCGCGCAGTCCGTGCAGGGTTTGTCCACTGGCCGTTAGATATTGTTCGGCAGCGCTGGATATTTCTTCTAGTGTTTTATGGCCGTTTCGTTTCAAGAACAGCTCGAGTTCCTTTGGGCAGCTCGATAGAAACTGTTCAATTAGGGTCAACTGTTTGAGACCATCGAAAGATGTCGGAAACTCACTCAGGGACATCCATTTATCCAAGTATGTCGACAAACGTGTTATGTACTGCTCCGGTGTCTCGTATTCTTCCGGAGGCGATTCCCGCAGACGTCTGCGAAAACCGTCAGCAGTAAGACCATACCGCTTTAGCAGTGCTTCCTTGAGGATCTCATAGTCATCAGCCTCGTCTGCACTCAAACGATGATAGACTTCCAGAGCCTTTCCAGTGAGCAGAGCGCTCAATGATACCGCCCAATCCTCTCTGTTCCAGATGTTAGACTGGGCGATTCTTTCAAATCTTGTCAGGTATATGTCCATGTCACCATTTTCTTCAAATGGAGGGAGCTTTGGAAGCTTCTTACTCGTTCTAGTACCATTGCTGGCCATCGAACCATCCAAAAGTCGCAGCTTTTCTATTTCAAACTGTCTTTCCTTCTCTCTTTCCTCACGCTCTAGTTCCTTTTCTTCACGCTCCCTTTCCCTTGTTAGCTTTCTTTCTTCCCGCTCCTGATCCTTCTCATATTGCTTCGATGCGAATTCTAGAGCTTCCAGTCCGGATAAGCCTTGTCTTGTCGCTAATTCTACGTATTTATCAATTTCGGTTTGCCCAGTGTCCTGTCACGGTCGCCAAATATGTAGCAAGAACGGTCGCGTTACTTTACATTGAATCGTATTTCGACGTAATTCGCGGAGTAAATCAACTTAAAGTTCATTCAGCCATTTATGTAGTGAATCACCGTATTATCATCACAGCAATCTCACCCCCATCCCCCACTTCAACCCTCATTCACAGCCATCCATTGACCTAAATACATTTCCCATACAAATCCCGCGCAGTATCCCAGCGGGCTCCTTCACCGGACAGTAACAGACGTAAACTGTAACAACGCTGAAGGCGCCGGCTAACCGGCCGGCTGCCGATAGCGGTTGAGAATTAGAGCTGCCAGATTTCCAATGGAAGCAAGCACAGTTCCCGAATGTTCTGTTACGAGAAGTAACCGACACGCTAGAATTATATATCCAGTCCAGATTTTAAGAAGACTTATGGGCTGAACAGCCGTTTTAAAAGAATTTGGCATACCATGTGTCCGTGTTGTAATTGATAACATTGGTAATCTGGCAGCTCTAATACGTCAGATAATTGGACCTAATTATCGTGGTCGGCCGCAACTGCCCATTCTGCCGGCGCCTTCAGTCCGTTCCGAGCGCTGGTAAGAAGCGCTGCGTGTATCTTGAACAGCGAGGTGATCATTGAAGTGCTTTGTGTCGTCTGTACGGCAAGTCTGTTATAAGTTTGAATAAGTATGTATTGTAAACTGATATTCCATACGTTCGCTTGTTTCGTTGCTGGCTTTGTCTTTGGTTTCTTTATGTCGGTATTATATAACGTAACTTATCATTATTATATTTCACGACAAGGGATGTTAAAGAAAAGACAGGGTGTCTCTATGCTGGGACCTGCGGAATTGTAATATGTATACTTGTATGCAGAGTTGACCGGTCACTCCCGGCGCGGACGGACGCGGCGGGCAGCGCTCCGCTCTGACGCACGCGCCCGAGCGCCGACAGCCACAGTGCAGTGACGGTAACTGGTGTTTATTGTGTGTGAGGCGAGGGCCACGATGGCCGATCCGAGTCGCGACTCTGGTGGTGTCGAAGCTGCAGCTGCCAGGTCGCTCCGGAGAGGATCGTCCGTCAGTGAGTTGGTCCGGAGCTGCGACGACGGAGCGGGGAAGAGAGACCGCTCCGAGTCTGGTGACTCTGTCACCGCGCCGATGGGTAAGCGCAGGCCGCTCGACCCCTCGCCTCGCAAGGGAGAGGTGAAGGAACTCATCGAGGATGCAGTGGAAGGAATCGAGAGTCGCCTGTCCCTGTTCATTTCCAAAGAACTACACGAATTCAAAGCCAGTCTCCAGACAAAATTTGATGCTCTCCACGCGCGAATCAAGGACCTAGAAGAGCACGTGAACGAAAAGGATCTGGAGATAGAGAGGATGTCCACGGAACTGAAAGAAACGCGTGAAGAAATGAAGAAGCTTAGCGAGAGGAGTGAGAACGCTGAAATGAACTCGCGAATCCCGTGCCTGATTTTGTCCGGCCGAGCAATGGCGCCCCACCGCAACCCGAGCCTGGCTGCGCCGCTGCGGCCGGCCGCCGGGCGGGCGCCCGGGGGCACGGACTCCGCCGGCCCCAGCGAGGAGCGCGCGGCCGGCGGTGCTGCGCTGGGCGGTGGCGGCGGCGGTGGTGCCGGGGGTGTCGGTTGTGCGAGGTCTGGGGAGGGAACGAGTGAGGAGGATGTCAACCAGCTGGTCATCAGAGTTCTGCAAAGCCGGTTCCCGGGCTTGGGCATCTCTGTAAGCGACATCGACAGGGCTCACCGCCTCCCAGGACCAAATCATCGTGTAATCGTCCGATTCGTCCACTCCGGTTCCGGATCGATAAGGGAGCGACTCATGACGAGAAGGATGGAGCTGCGAGGGAGCAACGACCTGTACATCAACGAAAGTCTAACCGCCCTGAAGAGCCAGATTCAGCGGTCTCTGCTGGAGGCTAAGAAAGCGAAAAAAATCTACACTGTTTTTACCAGGTGGGGACACGTGTACTACAAATCAGAAAAATTTGGAACAAGTACTCGGGTGGAATCACTTGCTAAGGCTCGTCAGCTAGGGTTCAGCGTCAAAGAATAAGCGTACTCATATATATGTGTCAAGGTTGCTCTTTCACGCTTGACGCACTTATACAGCCTTGCGAAGTTCGCTTACCAGCACGTGTTCACTTTCTGCTAGTCGCTTACTTACTCGACGATAAAGGATCGTTGTTGATTTTGATGTTTGATGTGTGTGCATGTCTACTCGTCAATTGTGTTCTCGTTCTCGTTCTGCGTTGTCCCATGTCTGCCTTGCAGACGACGATCTCGGCTGGTGCATCGGCTGTGAGTGTCTGCGGCGGCGGCGGCGGCGGCGGCGGCGGGGTCGGACTCTTCTACACGTGCAATGGGAGCCGAGGAGCTCGATGTGTGATTGGCGCCGCCTCTGGTGTGCTTCGGCCGCGGTCTCCGTCGGTGCCGGCGCCCGTCGCTGGCGGCGCCTGTGGCGGTCTGTGCCGGTCGTGCACGTTGCGGCGGCCGTCGGTTCCGCGGTCCACCCGCTGGTGTGGGTGGCCATGCTGCCGCGCCCCGCGTCTCCGGATGCCAACTGGCGCCCGCCGAGGGGGCCGTTCTGTCACGAATCGTCCGGTCCCGGCCCGAGTTGCAGATGCAGTGTGGCACCCTTTTCGTGAGTATGGTCACTGGACGGATCGGCCATACCGTAACGCACCAGGAGAAAGCTATGTCCAATGTAGTACTATATTGTCTCAGCAACACATACAACAAAGTAGTGCAAAAAGGAAAATGAAGTTTTGGTTTGGAGCAAAGTTCAGCACCGCGTCTAAGGTCGAGAGACAAACACTAACATTTTATGAGAAACATTAAAATTGCATCAGTAAATGTCCGGGGTCTGGGAGGACAAGAGAAACGCAGAGATGTTATGCATTACCTGAGAACTATGAACTTTGACATTATCTTCCTTCAGGATACTCATCTCACAGAAAATAAAGTTCAGTTTCTAAACTCGCTGTGGCGGGGTAAGACATACCATTCTTGCTTCACAAACAACAGTAGAGGAACCTCAATTTTGATCGACAAAGGTCTTCAACATACCATGCTCTTTGAATTCGTTTGCAGGAGAGGTAATTATGTTATTATTGGATGTAAAATAGGGTCAGACACATATTGTAGCGCGTAGTGCGCTTACGTCATGTGACTACCTCGCCCGGTCGCCACTAGAGGCGCTTGTGTTGAAATACACTCAGTTGACCGCTACATCTGGTGGCAGCGGGTGGGCCGCTCCGCAGTCTGAGCCCCACACCATGGATGGTGAAAGTGATACGAGAGTGCAAGTGCTTGTACCGCCGCAGCCTAAAACCGAACAGTGCACGATCACCGATTACATCGACTACTTTGAGGCTGTGGCGACGGCCAACGCGTGGGACGATACTGTGAAAGCCAGGATTTTTCCTGCGCTGCTCGGTATGGGCAATACTGTGCTGACAGACTGCCCGGAGGCTGACAAAAAGAGCTTTGCCAAAATCAAAACGTATCTCACTAAAGTTGGAGAGCCGTACCGTGATGCGTTTATGCTCGATTTGTTTCGTGTTCGAATGGCTGACCTTGAACCGGTCGAGAAGTACCGTGACCGTGTGGTGACTTTAGTTGAACAAGTTTACCCGCGGTTTGCAGCGAGCAATAAGGCAGCTCTTGCTCGTGATTTTTTTGTCTGTGGACTGCCAGATCCTATGAGGGCAGCAGTGTTGAACTCTGGCTCCTGCCGTAAGCTGGAAGAGGCTGTCAACTCAGCGCTGATGTGCTTCAGCCTCAGCGGCCGGCTCGGGTCGCGCGGCTCTGGAGGCGCTGCCGGTGGTGATCACGTGACCTGGCGCACGGTGCGTTCGCCGGCCGCTCCGAGGGGAGGAGTGAGGAGCGGCGACCCGGCGCGGTCTGGCCCGAGGGCGGTATGCTGGCGCTGCGGTATTGCTGGTCATGTGCGTGCACAGTGCCGCGCTCCCGGCGACGGACTGGCTGGTAGACGGATGGAGGGCATCGCGGTTTCACCCGTCTCCGATGATGGCCGTGTCTACGTCGACATCGACATCGATGGCTGTCCGATGCAGCTTCTGGCAGATAGCGGTGCCACCGTCAGCTGTCTGCCCACTTCTTTCCGGCCCAACTCCATGGCTAAAGACGACTATGTTATCGCTGCCAATGGGTCGAGAATGCCTGTGTATGGTCTGCTGAACTGCTCTGTCTCGCTCAGTGGCGCTACGCTGATGCACGACTTCATCATCACCGACGTGCAGCGCGGCGTGGTGGGGGCAGACCTTCTGCAGAAGTTCGGCGCGTCCATCGACTTCGACCGTGGAGCTGTGCTTGTCGGTGTGAATCGACACCCAGCTGGCGCGGCCGACAGTGTGACGTCACCTGGCTCCGGTGGCGCCTGCGTCGGAGGGACGGTCGTCGCGCCGGTGGCGCCATCTCTGGGCTACGTTGAGACTGCTCAGAGTGGGGCGCCGCCTGCGCCTCCCTCCGCTCCGGTGGCGCCATCTGCGACTCCCTCCGCTCCGGTGGCGCCATCTGCGAGACACAGCGTGAAGGAAGATACTGCCGCCGGTGAGGCGCCGCTGCTGGACTGGGAGGAGGGATGCTTCCACGAGGTCGGGATGCTGGCTACCGGTGAGGATTTACTGAGGGAGTGTGACTTTGATGATAGCAGCGATGCTTCGTGTAACGGACTTGAAAAGCTTAAGAGCCAGTTTGCGGACGTGTTCAATGGTCTCGGGCGCACCAGTTTGATAGAGCATAAGATCGAAACAACATGTGACCAGCCCATAGTGTGTCGCCCTCATAAACTGCCAGCGGCATATATGTCTCGAGCTCAAAGTGCAATCGATCAAATGCTTCGTGATGGGGTGCTAGAACAAAGTGACAGTGACTACATGAACCCCGTGGTGCTTGTTAAAAAGAAAAGCGGCGACATACGTGTCTGTATTGATTTCAGGAAACTGAATGAGGTGACGGTGAAAGATCGTCAGCCTGTGCCGCTGGTGTCAGACGTCATCGGGAAGCTGGCGGAGTCGACAGTGTTCTCAGTGCTCGATGCTCGCTCGGGATACTATCAGATCCCTCTCAGGGAACAGGACAGAAAGAAGACGGCCTTCCAGTTTAATGGCCAGCTACTGCAATTTCGTACAATGCCGTTCGGTCTCTGCAACGGTCCCAGTACGTTCAACCGTCTGGTGCAGAGGCTGACACAAGACCTGCCATGTGTGGCAGCGTATTTCGATGACTGGTGCATCCACAGCCGGGACGAGTCGTCACATTTGGAGGATCTGCGCTCTGTCTTGCAGAGACTACGAGAAGCTGGACTGACGCTGAACGGCGAGAAGTGCCGGTTTCTGCTGACATCCCTGGAGTCGTTCCTTGGCTTCAGCATCGAGGGTGGTATGATTCGACCGACGAAGGAGCACATCAGAGCTGTTGAGGCGATACCGCGGCCTGGCGATCAGACAGCTCTCAGGAAGTTCCTGGGCCTGTGCGGCTTCTATAGGTCGCACATCGCGGAATTCAGCTTGATTGCGAGGCCGTTGCACGATCTTTTGCAGAAGGGGAATTCATTCCTCTGGGATGGCGCGCACGAGACAGCGTTTCGTCGGCTGAAGGCCCTGCTGGCTGAACGTCCGGCTCTGAAGATTCCTACGGAATCGTCACAGCTATCAGTGCGGACCGACGCCAGCGAGAATGGCTTCGGCTGCGTACTAGAGGCAGACGGCCAGCCTGTGGAGTTCAGCAGCAGAGCATTCAACAAGTCACAGCGACACTACTCCGTAATAGAAAAAGAAGCATGCGCGATTGTACACGCTTTGAAGAGATGGCGTCACCTGCTGGTGGGACGGCCGGTACGTCTATTCACGGATCACAAGCCTCTTCAGTGGTTGCGCTCCAAGAAGGATCTGACTGGTCGGCTGGGTCGCTGGGCGCTACTACTGGAGGAGTTCGACATCAGCATTCATCACGTCGCAGGATCTGAACATGTCGTCCCGGACGTGCTCAGCCGGTCGTTCCCGGAGCAGCCGCAGTGTGTCGCTAGTGTCGCTGACTGGCGCTCTGAGCTGGCGACTGATGACGGCGTGCGCCAGCTGCAGGACAGGAAGCCGGACGAGTTCCGAGTGAACGGGCGTGGTGCGCTCTGCCATGTGCATCCGGTCTTCGGAGAACAGCTGGTGGTACCGCGGTCCCAACGCGACGGCATCATCAAGTTGCTTCATGATGACCCATTGGCGGGTCACGCCGGATCCAAGAAGACCGTTCGGCGTGTACAGGAGCGTTATTTTTGGCCGGGAATGACCAGGGATATAAAACAACATGTAAAAGGATGTATCGTGTGCTGCACTGTGAAAGATAACCCTGTTCCGACGGCGCCATTGACACCGGTAGACACGTCTGCCCTGAACGTGTGGGAAAAAGTCTCTGTAGACATTGTTGGCCCGATCTTACCGGTGACAGAGAGCGGTGCTAGATTTATCGTGGTTTGTCAGGACTATTTTTCGAAGTGGCCCGAGATGACAGCCCTACCGTCGACTGAGACGGAGGTCATTCAGAGCTGGCTGTTTGATCATGTTTTCTGTCGTCATGGGTTTCCGTCTGAGATAGTAACTGACCAGGGGACGCAATGGATGAGTGCTTCGTTTAAACAGTTTTGTGAAAAACTAGGCATTAAGCATAGGACGACTTCTCCGTATCACCCACAGTCTGACATGGTCGAGCGTTTTAACAGAACACTGCTCAATATGATACGGTCGTATGTGGGAGAACACAAGGCGAGTTGGGATCAGAACTTACAGTCGTTGGCCTTTGCTTACCGGACCGCCGTGTGTGAGACAACTCAGTCAACGCCGTTCGAGTTGCTGTTTTGTAGACGCGCGCAGTTGCCGATTGACACGCTCCACTCGAGTATGCGCGAGGTGACGAGCTCGGGTCTCATGGCTCGGCTGTCTGATGTGAGGGCTACGGCTCGTGATGTGTCGAAGCGAGCAGCGGCGAAACGAGCAGACGGGTACAATTCGGCGAAACATGTTCGTGAGCTCAAAGTGGGCGATGATGTATTTTGGAAACGGCCTATTCGCAAGGTGGGTGTCTCGCCGAAACTGCAGCCGATCTGGTCTGGCCCGTTTACTGTCACCCACAGAACGTCTGATGTAAACTATCGCATCCGAGACTCTGATGGGAAATCGGTCGTTGTGCATGTAAATAACCTGAAAACCTGTCACGTGCCGCATGTCGCTGGACGCGGTGTCATTCGTACGAGAGGCAGGCCGCCGCTGAAGACGCAGTAGGCATAGTGTCTGTGTCTCCGTGCTCGTGCCTCAAGTGTCATTAGAAGCTTGTTTTTTTTGTGGGGGGGAGGTGTGTGCTGAACTTGGTGGGGAGGTGTAGCGCGTAGTTCGCTTACGTCATGTGACTACCTCGCCCGATCGCCACTAGAGGCGCTTGTGTTGAAATACACTCAGTTGACCGCTACAATATGTGTTTGGGTGCATATACGGTCCAAACAAAGACGAGCCAGAATTTTATCGGGAAATAGGCGAAAAACTGGAAAGTGTCGAATGCGATCACATCATTTTGGGTGGAGACTTAAATTTTGTGATGAATTATCAAAAAGACTGTCATGGATATGTTCGAGAAAATAATATTAATGCCAGAAATGCATTCACCACGATGTGTAATCAGCATGGAATCATTGATATCTGGAGATTTTATAACCCAGATAAGCATGAATTCACGTGGAAGGGACCCAACAAGGTAGCTAGATTAGACATGTTCTTTATAAGCGAACATTTATGTAGCTTGTGCATCAACCAAAACATTTTGCCGGGATATAGGACAGACCACAATATTATTACAATAGAAATCAAAAGCAGCGATGCTTCCCGAGGCCCAGGGCTATGGAAATTCAATGAGTCCCTATTGAGCAGATAGCGAAGTAAAAATCATGCAATATGCGGACGACACGGTATTATTTCTTGACGGTGAGGCAAGTTCAATACGAGGAGCACTATCAGAATAAGAAACATTTTCAAATTTCTCTGGCCTAAAACTCAACATAGAAAAAACAGCATGTCTTCCTCTCGGGGTAGACCCTCGGCGATACGAGTCTGAGAACTTCGGCTGTAAATGGGTTAGTCAAATAAAGATTTTAGGAATATCTTTCTCTAACAACAATAAGGGAATAATTGAAACGAACTTGGAACCAAAAATCGCTCAGATTAACAAAGAAATAGCGCAATGGCGGAGGCGAAATCTTACTAAACTGGGAAAAATAACTGTGATTAAGTCTTTATTGTTGTCGAAGCTAGTTCACTTATTAACTGTTCTGCCTAATCCTTCACAATTCATACTCAAAAAGCTAGAACGCATTTTCTTTTCTTTTGTGTGGAATGGGGGAAGGGATCCTATAAAAAGAGCCAAAACGATACAAAGTTACACTGCAGGTGGATTGCAAATGATCGATATTAAAGCTTTCGTCCAAAGTCTTAAATTGACATGGCTTAAGAGGTTAAGGGAATCTAAAGCTTCGTGGGTAAGACTAGCTGAGAATGAAGTACCATGTGTTGAAAGCATTCCTCAATTTGGAAGCAAAAAGTTATTAAGGATCCGCTCCAAAATAAACAATCCATTCTGGCAGGATGTTTTGGAAGCGTACAGCCGCTTTAGCATAGACTATAGCCCAGACGATGTCGGTATACTAAATGAGAGCCTATGGTTCTCGGACTATTCGAAATATAGCTGTTCTATCGTGAAAAATTGGAACGAAAAAGGACTTAGGTTCATAGCAGATTTGATTGACGAACAAACTGGGCAGATAATGACGAGGGAAGCGGTGCAAGATAGGTTTGGAATAAGAATGACCATTCTGTGCTATTCAAGCCTCGTGAGAAGTTTACCTGAATGTGTGAGACGTCAATCTTTCGACGACATACCGAAACCAATAATACCAACGAGATTAAATCTCGTTATGAGTCATGCGAAGTTCTCACGCTATGCATATCAGATGGCAATACAATCAAAGAAAGCCGAAACAAAGAATGCGGATGAGCGTCTAAGACAGAAATGGATGACAGATATTGGACACTTTGTAGAGGATAGCACAGTGGCTGTAATGAACGCCACACATTCAACACGACTCATTATGCTACATTACCGAATAGTTAACAGATTTCTCACTACAAACAAATTTCTGAATATCATCAATGTGAAAGACGATGATAAATGTACGTTTTGTCACAGACACGCAGAAACTTTAGCGCACATGTTTTGGTCCTGTACCGAAGTTCAGAGTTTCATTACCGACATAAAAGTATTCTTACAATCTACACACCAATTTACACTTCAAATAACTCCAAAAACAATATTTTTCGTACAAAACCTTAACCCAATTGAAGTACTCATTTTAACCTTGATGAAACAAGTAATATGCGAAGCACGATCGAAGGAAGCTATTCCAAACGTAGTACATTTTAAATATAAATTAAAGCGCGAAGCTGAAACTGAAATAATAACAGCTAGACACGTCAACAAAATAAGGGTGTTTGAATCGAAATGGGGGGCATTGAAAAACATTTTACAGCACGAGTAGTCAGCTCGTGTAGTCACAAGCTTACCATCCATTGCCAAGTTGTGCGTAAGGAGATGCGCAGCGCACGCAGCCGCCGGCGGGCCGGGGCCGGACGAGACGCGCCGCCAATTGCCCGATTTGTAGGTACAATGGCTCTTATCACGGTAATCAGTGCTCTGGCTGGCGGGGCGTGGCCCGTTGGCGACCCTGCCGGCGCGGGCGGGGACCGGCGGACCGGCGAGCTCGCGCGGTGGCGTGCGCGGGCGGTGCGGGCCTCTGCTGGCGCTGCCGGTGGCGGGGGCTGGTTCCGGCGGGGGGCGTGGCCGGCGGGCGACGTGGTGAGCGCCGTTTCCGCGCGTCGGGCTCCTCGGTCTTCGGTGTCTTACTTACCCTATACATAGAATACTCTGTCGCTGCTGCCGTCGCGCCGCTGCCGCTGCCGCTGCTCGCTGTCGCCGTGGGCGCCGTTGTGACCGGCCTCACCGGTTTGAGCATCATTAAGTGCGCTTGCGTACGTGCTGCTGCTGCTGTTGGTTTGTGTGTCTGTTAATAAAAAAATCAGCCACCGCTCCCAAGACCCATCCGGGCCAACCCGGGACCGGCCTCTTCGACTGGGGCCGGTCGGCCGGCCGGGCGTGCGGGGCGCCGGCCCTACAAGTCGACGGCTCGCACGCCCGGCCGGTGGATAGGGGGCGCCGCCCGCGATACCCCTTCGCCGGGCGGCGCGGGCGGTGGCTGATGGCCCGCCGCGTTTCTTTAGTCCATGAAAAGACACCGGGGCGGCTTGACCAGGCGGGCCACACCACGTCGCGTGGTGGTGGCGAGCTCTAATTTTATAGCTCGGCCGCCGCCTATAGTTAAAATGCAGTTGAAATGTGGCGTCCGATTTGTGTATATTGCCAGCATTGTATGCCAGCGTGTACGCTTGCCAAATATTACTCGCACGTTGTGGGGGTTTTGAAAGCCCTATTGTGTCGGTGCA